TCCCTGTTAACCTTTTAACCTTTTATTTGTCCCTTCCCAAGACAGCGTTTCTCTGTGTAACAGCCCTGGCTGTCCTGGAGCTCACTTTGCGGGCTGGACTGGCCTCAAACTCACAGAGATCTGCCTGCCTCTGCCTCCCAAATGCTGGGATTAAAGGTGTATGGTCTTAACCATCAGCAGAGTAACGCCATAGATAGTATAAGGTAAAGTTGATGAAGTTTCTCAACCTTCATAATGCTGTGATCCTTTAATACAGTTCCTCATGCTGTGGTGACCCCACCATAAAATTATTTCCGTTGCTTCCTCACCACCGTAAGTTTGCTACTGCTATGAATCATAATACAAATATCTGGTATGCAGGATCTCTGAGATGTAGCCCCATGTGAAAGAATCGTTCGACCCCCAAAGGGGTCATGACCCAACAGGCTGAGAATACTGCTCTCGGGAGACAAATATCAGTTCACTCTCGTTCATTTTCACATTCTCTCTCTTTTCTTCCAAACTCGGGGCCTTGTGCATACCAAGTAAACATCCTACCAGCGAGTTCTTTTGACATTCTCAACGCCAATTTTTCAATTATCCGGAAATAAAAATCTAACAGTCTATGTTGTCCAATGACAATCCAAGAGATCTTGGATTGCCTTCAAAAATAAAAAATAAGTCACTCACTCAGAACAGTAAACAACAGAAATGCAGTCATTAAGATTATCTTGTTTTTTTGCTAAAATCCACTTAACAACAGGAATTGCTAAATTTAATAATGAGTTTTAATAAGAGTACCCAACTATTCAAAAGGTCAACTTGCCCTCTGGGCTACTGCTTACCTTTATGATATTGGCACAGAACCGTTCCCAAAGTGACAGCTCCCCTTCTTTGATCCATGACATAGTTCTTGCTATGTCAGAAATCACCCCAGAACAAAATACCAACCAGATAACCTTGAATAAATGAAAAGAGAGAGAAGTCATCCGTGCTTGCAAATAAATAAACCTGACTTAAAGGCACTCTGTTGGACTTTGGCAAGAGGCCAGCATCTGAACCCAGAAACACAGGTCTACTTTCACCACTCAGGCCTGTACAAACCAATGAGAGACCTTTGAGACAAGGGGGTTCCCATTTTCTCTTCCTTCTTCTGTGCACTGATTTCTTGCGAATATCCTGCCACATCACGGTGCCTACAACTTCCTACTCAATTCCTCCTGCAAGCCATTTCTCACTCCGGGCTAAGCAATCAAGCAATCACTGCTCCCATCGGCAACCGCACCTGTTACCTTGGTGATCTTAGAATCACTCCTCCAGCTGGCCCTCAGTGTCGCCCGCAGCCGACTTCTCACCGAGCTTCCCCTCTCGCGGGTCTCTCCGTTCACTCTGCACCTAAGACGCCGTGGGAAGCCTACTTCTACCACTCCCGACGTGGCGCTGGAAGAACACGTCACCGCTGCGCGCGAGGACACACCTCCTTCGTCCCCCCAGTGGGCGGGACCACGCTTTGCGCCTGCGGACTGGGAGGCGGAGGGGTAGAGCTCCGGAGAGTTGACCCGTGGTGCACGCTCCCGCGGGGGCGTGGAAACAGCAGGCTGGGAAGCCGAGGTCACGTGATCCGGCGAATTAGCGTCCCACCAGGACGTCAGCTGGCATCCAGAGACCAGCCCACGGGACGTGCTCAACGGCTTCGGGTGCTGGGGCAATTAGCCGCGGGAAGGGGGGGCGGCTGCACCTCAGAAACGAGTTTCTCTGTGGACGACCGCAGTGCTTTTGGTAGAGCCGCTAACACCGCACTGTCAGCAATCTTCCTGCCTCAGTCTTCAGCTACTGGGATTATGGACGTAAACCGTGCAGGGCTGAAGTGGGCTTCTTTTAAAACTGTGTTAGTTTCATCCTAATATTGTACTATCAGTGGAAAATGGTGGCGCCCCGTCACTCAGAAGTCACGAGGCTGAGGCCAGGATTATTAGCTCAAGGTCTTCTCTGCTACAGATCAGCCTGATCTATATAGGACATTGTCTTTTTATTAACGTATTTCTGCTTATCGCCTTTTAGTGTTATTAATTGATCAAAAAGCGGTTTCTTGCTCTGGTCACTGTTTGGGCTGATTTAAGACATGCAGAATTTTGTAATTTACAGAGTCCCAAGATCCACGTTAATTGAACTTAAAAGCCAGAATGAGATTTACTTTACGATAACTGGCTGTTGCGCTGGGGAACATAGCATAGGTGGTGTTTGCCTAGTTTACCGGTGCTGGGTTCAATGTCGAGCCCAGCATAAAACAGCATGGTGGCAGTGGGAAGCAGGAAAATCAGTTTAGGTGACCTAGACTTTGAGGTTTGGGTTTCTTTAGGAAACCCAGCCTCAAAACTAAAGAAAAATAGAAACAACAGAAAGACCATAGTCAAATTTAGAAATCAAAAGCATTGGTTGTATACGAAATCTTGCAAGACTTCTGGATACCGAAAATAACAAAATTTGGGGCTATCAGGGGGCTTCAGGAGACATCTCAAAAGTATTATCTATTGCCTGATGATACAGATTTGGAAGAGGTTGCTAGTCCTACTTTCTCAAAGGTTAAAACACAAAAATTTTTTTTAAAAAAATCCAGTAACTTTGGGTATCCGATGCAACTAGCATTTGTTTCAATTGGTACTCCTGTCATAGAACTTCTGGTTCCAGCGAATCTTACCTCACTTGCCCTGCGGCCTCAATGGCACCGAGCAAGGAAGCAATGCCTTCTTTCAGCCCTACCTGATGAAAGCGCAGTTTTCACGGAACTGTGATTAAACAAAGCTGTAGTGATGAATAACCCATTCACCAAGTCTTATGCTTCCATTCTCTCCCCTTTGTGAGCTGTGAAGTTTCTGCTAATAACACGGGTGTTTCAGGAAGCCTGTTAGCTCACTGAAGCCCAGTAGTTAGCGTTGCTAGGTTTAACTTTTGGTACAATTAGTTAAAGGGTCACAACCCCCCTGCTCTGCTAACAGGGTGAGGATTTATTTAATCCACTTTCTGTTAATACTTAGGTTTCCCTCTGGTCAAGTTCTTTTCTCTCTCTCCCTGTTAAAAATCCTTCTCTCCTTTGGAAAACATTTAAGCATTCATTAGAAAGCTAGCAAACTGTATCTCAAAACAGTGGTTTACAGTCAGTGAATTGCCTTTGGCCTCAATTTCCCCAGTTCTGTATGGTATTTTCCTTTTTGGGGTGTTGCAAGGGGTTAATTAGGATTTGTAAAGGGCTTTGAGGAGGAAAGGACAAAGTATTATTAGGGTCTCATGCCCTGAGCCCTGGCCCCGTCCTTTCATCCCAGCCAGTAGCATAGGCATCCCCATTCTTATGCATGCCAGGCCTCTAATCCCCTCTTGAATGTGGCAGCTTCCAAGGAAGGGACAAGAGGCCTTAACTAGAAACAAAAATCCAGTGTAATGAGGTGCTATAAGGGCTGAACTTTCAAGATTCATCCCTAACAAAGTGGGAAGGGGAAAACTTAATGGTTCTGTGCCTTCCCTATCCAAAATGGGGATTATGCGGAGAGAAAAGCATCCTAAATATCTGATGAGAACAGTTTGAGTACCAATAAGTCTTTATTTTCCCAAGAAAGAAGGGAAGGGAAAGTCAGCACGTGTTACAAAATGATTATACGATAGGAATATAAGTACCCGGGTACAGTAAAAGTCAACCATGAAATAAACACCCCCGTGGTGGGGCCACCAAAGCCCAAGGGGGCTCAGTCTCCTGCAGTTCAGGACAGAGAAGGGATCAGGGAAAGTACAGACAAGTACACACTTTCCCCACCCCTTCTCCCCATAAATTCAAGATTTCTCACAAAGCTTTGGTTTCTAGCAGTAAACATGGAGTTACATTCGTACGTCTCCTAGTAACAATCTTGTGGCCACTTTGACATAAGTTTCTTGCACCTACATTAAGTTCCTGAGTGACTTATACATTCATTTTCCCTTTTCTGGTCTTTAGATGGAAGGCCCCACAATTGCTTCTCTCATAGACTAGGTCGGTTTGATTCATCCAAAGACAAATGGTCTTGCCAGGGAGAAGTGGCTCACCTGCAATGCCTGCATTGAGGAGGCTAAGGCAGGAGGATAGCCAAGAATCTGAGGTTAACCTGGGTTACAGAGAAACCCTGTCTCAAAATAAACAACCAAGATTCTTGACTGAGTTTGGGAACAAGGGGTAAGTGAGGTTCATGGCTTCCTCACAATTTTTACATGGGTCTTTCAAGAGTTGCACAGACTTCAAGAAGTAAATGTGTCTAAGTTTTCTTGTGAGAGAGAAGAGGGCGGTATAGGAGCGGTTTAAAAGTCAGAGAATGTGGTCCAGAATGGGAGACAGGGGAAGAGAATATGGAAACCATATTCCAGAGGCTCACTTTATGAAGAGGACCCACACTTAGGCTTCATGCTGTCATCTGGTGCAGAACTTTCTGTCAAAGATGCTTTGGCTAATTTTCTCTCAATACAAAAAGTTTTGTAAACAATAAAACCCCAAAAGAACATGAAGACCGACATCCTATTTACACAGCTAGACCACCTAGCAGTCACCGACTCTGACAGAAGTCCTACAAAGGCCAGACGAACACATCAACTAGGGGGGGGACAGCATTTGGGGGTGACAAGAAACCAGGATCAGACACACACACACACCACCCAATGTGTTCTATTGCATTTGCCCCGTTTCAACACAGTGAGGTAGGTTTGCGGTGATCTCACAGCACATAAACAACCCCCCCCCCTTTCTTCCTTTAGCTGTCAGCCTTATTACACTGCAGCAGGGCAGGACACTTGCCACAGAAGCCCACACATTCCTAGAGTCTCGCCCTTGTTTCATGTCCCCATCCCTAAAAAGCAGTGTGGGAATAAGGATGTTGGTCTTAACCAGAACTCAGTGGCAGGACACATCCTAGCACAAATGAGCCCCCAGGTTCAATCCCAGTATCCAAAAATCAATCAAACACACACACACACAAAAAAAAAAAAAAAAAAAAAAAAACCTCATCCTTATAAATTTGCATAAAAAAACCAACACTCAAACATACATACTCGCACCCTGCTGTGTATGGCCGGGCAGACTAATCTGGTGAAGGGTGGATTTTGGATGGAAATTACTCTTGTGCCTTTCACCTGGCCCAGCCTTTTGAGATCTCTGTACCAGCTTTTCCTGTTTAGACTAATTTCCTATCTTTTGCCAAAATCTGAGACCGAGTCATGTGCAGCTTAATTAAAACCTAGCCTCCTGCAAAACATCTTAAGATGGACAGAGGTTTTAAGGACTATATGGCAGAAAAGCCATCTGTAAATGGCAAAAATGAGGTAGTTCAATAGGCTGTGCATTCCAAATGGTTGGTCTCCATGGTGATCGAAACAAAAAGTATTCCTGCTGTGCAGACCTGGAGCTGCCGGCGGACTTATCCCTGAGATTGCTCGTGTACCTGAGAACACAGTGCAGGAATGAGGGCCTTAGATTAAAATATACAAAAATACAAACCGATTATTTATATTAAGAAAAAAAATTAAAACGCACAAGATACGTCATTCGCACACAGATAGTGCAGTTGGCATCCTGGAGAAAGTGGGACCCAAGGTGCAGTTACCCAAGGGAGTAAATAAATTAAAAATCACATTGGCCTGTGAAAGAGCTGGGAGTGAGGTAGAACAACAGGTTATCCCTAACCCCCAGACACCCTCTTTGCTGCCATCACAACCCACTGCTAGATACCCATTCCCAGCACCGCACCCCAGGAAGGGGTTGAGTAAGTAGGATGTGAAAAAAAACCTTGCCTGGCTCCCGAGAGAGTCCCTCCCACAGAGTGTAGTAGTAGCTGGAGGGTTAGGTTCATTAATGTGGTATTACACTTGCTTCACACCCTGTCTGGCAAGGGAAATATCACACAGCCTTCTACAGAAGAACCTTCCTATCCCAGCCACTTTCAAAAGCATGTCGTTTTGGGTTAAAGCCTCAGCTAAAAGCATGCAGGTTCTAGGGTGGTTCCCCACGAAAACCTTCACTTGCCTTTAGATAAAGCATGGTTGGAGTTTCCATTGCCTCCCCCTTCCCCCCCACCAAGGGAAGACAGGGTGATACTGGGAACCCCGGCCTGAGATACATGGCAGTGCCAGCTACCCGCAACCCACCCTATCCCCACTTTCTCCACTCTGCCCGATTGATGCCTCCTTGAAACTCCCCGATAGCAAAAGAATAGCCCCCCAGCTCCTGTGCCTCAATTCTGGGCTTCTGGGAGCAGGGCAGGGCTGTGGATCTCTTCCTCTTCCTCCCGGAAGTAGGCAGGCTTTCCCTGAGACGTGGGGGCCTGCTGGGCCTTCAGTGGACATGAGGCCACCATATGGTTGATGCTTTGGCAGAAGTGGCACTTCTTGGGCTGGGGCGGCAGCTTGCATTCCTTGGCATGATGGTCCAGACCACCACAGTTATAGCACCTGGCACAAGACAGAATGGTAAAGGTGAGGGAAACATGGGAAGAAGTTTGAAGCCCCTTAAGGGATGACACCCTCACCCACGCTTATCACCGTAACAACGCCTTCCCTTTATTATGCCCTTTCTAGGTCTATCCGATGACCTTCAGGCTCACATCAGCTGTGACACACAACTTGATGGATGGATGGATGGATGGATGGATGGATGGATGAGACCTCCCCTGGGTCCCCTGCAAGAGCAGTAATTACTCTTAACCACTGAGCCATCTCTTCAGTCCTAGTTTTTTCTTTTCATTTTGGGACAAGGTTTCATTATATAGTCCTGCCGTGCCTTCAACTGGTGGCAGTCCTTTTTTGTCCCTGCTCCCCAAGTCCTGCATGCACCATCAGACCAGGCTAAAGAAAGGAGTTTTTTCTTTCCTTTGGTGACAGAGTTTCTCTGTATATCCCTGACTGTCTTGGAACTCACTCTGTAGACCAGGCTGGCCTCCAGAGATCCACCTGCCCCTGCCGCTGCCTCTGTTGGGATTAAAGGCATGTGCCATCACCACCAAGCTAAGAGTTTCTAAAGCCAAATTAATATTACCTCTTTAGAGCTAAGAGGTTTTAAGCCCCATGGGAAAAACGCAGACAGTACCCAATTGGCAAGCTGGTAAGGAAACAGTAGGTAACATATATCTAACATCTTATACCATAGTTCACATACATATTCATGGTAGCCTTTGCTTCTAAAGTCAGTATGGACGACAGGCAGCATCACTCCTAGCAACAGAAGCTAATCTAAGGACAAAGGGAGTTGCAAGCGCCCATTGACTGCATTGCCAAAGCTTAAATTCACTGGTAACCGATTCTGGCGGGACCTGCGGGAGCACCATCCTCAGCACTTCTACAAGCCGCCTTCGGGGCCATACCTGTCTCCTTTGGATCTTCGTTTCTGTGTGTTCTTTCCCTTTGGCCGCCGCTCACTCCCAATACAGAACACTCCACCAGGGCCAGTGACACGGATGGATTCCAGACCCTTGGCAGACTTCTTAAAGGTGAACTCTACGGCCTCCCCCTCCTTGAGGCTTCGGAAACCCTCCATGTGCAGCTTACTCTAGCAACGGGAAACACAAGATTTTACTATAAGACAAAACTGCGAACATGCTACCTGTTCCCGTGAGACAGGAAGGGAAGTTAACACACCCATTTCACGGATGAGAAAACTCAAGCTGAGCATGGCAGCCCATGCCTGTCACCCAATCGTAGGGTCACCATAAGAACAGCAAGAAATCAGCTCCATTCTTAGGAAATACACATTAAGATACTTAAACAGAAACATACTTAATGCTGTATTTATGATTACTAAGGTGGCTTTTTTGTGGTTGCACAAGGCTTTAATCCCAGCACTTGGGAGACAGAGGCAGATGGATCTCTGAGGTCGAGGTTAACCTTACCCATATATCAGGATGAGTTCCAGGTCAGCCAGGACCACATAGTGAGGCCCTTTCTCTCCCTTCCATACATACGCCGCCAAAAAAACCCAAACAAACAACACAGAGATAAAAGGATACAGTAAAGAGGGCAAAATGTTAATGGATGAATGGGGGAAAAGACTGAGAATAAGTCTGTCTGTTCCTGTAATCTTTAAACTTGAAATCATGAAAATGTTACTGAAAACTGATATATCAGTTTCAGGGCAAGGATTAAAATGGAATGTCATGAAGAGATTCCAGGAATGTGTGAAAAAGCTAGGAGGCCTGGAACTCCATCTATTGACCAGGCTGACTCTAACTCAGATCCACCTGCCTCTGCCTCCCAATTGCTGGGATTAAAGGCATTCACCACCACCCCACCACTGTCTAGCTCAAAATATATCTGGAGGAATTAAATACCTATTTGGTAAGAAAAAGAATGGCAAGCCAGCATTATGACACAGCACTAATCTCAAGGCTCAGGATGGAGGTTGAAACAGGAGGAAGGCAGGTTCAAGGCCAGCATGGTCTCAAAACAGAGAAACAAAAAGTCAGATACAATCAGACAAATCTACAAGAAGCTACTACTTGGGGGAAAACTAAACATTACAAGTGTACCAGGTATGGTGGTACACCTCTAACCACCCCACTATGTCAGCACTCAGAAGGCCTGGACGAAAGCACTACTGGAGACCGGCCTGGGCTGCACAGCTTCTTCAAGGTCAGAACACAGTGAGTGAAAGGAAGCTGGCAGGGTGTGGTTCAGTGGGTAAAGCCAGTTGTTGCCAAGCCTGAAAATTTAGTATGCTCAGTCTCTGGGACCCATGAGATGGAAGGACAGACGTGGTCTTCTGACCTCCACATGGGGCATGTGTATTATATACACGCAGGCATACGCAAAAAAATACAAAAGCAATAGGTTTTGTTGTTCATGCCACATTTTGGTACCTCATCTGGGTACATTTTTGGATGAATTAATGAAGTATGGGTTTCTGGTTTTTGAGACAGGGTCTCACTATGCTGTTCATACTGGCCTCAAATTCATGATTCTCCTGCCTCGGCCTCCAAAGTGCCATAATTCCACACGGATTCCACAGCAATGAGTTAGATTTTTATCTTTTGACACCTGTGTTGCCCAAACTGCTCTCAGATTTGTCGGCTCCAAAGTCTCCTGCCTCTTGAGCAGCTGGGGCCACGTGTGCTCACCCAGCAACAAGGAAACAACGGTTAACTACTTGATTGGGAATGATGATCACGAAATAAAGACTTAGAGTCCGGCTCCTTTAAAAAGGCACCCGGACCCCCATGCTCACGGTTGCCACAATTAGCACAGACCAGACCTACTGTTTTTTAGTTCAGGAGGCAGCACTTCCCAGAACAGTCTCTACACAGCTGGAACTAAACAATTCAGCGTGTAATTCCATCAAAAGGTCGTCATCTAGAACACGGGACTCCATGGTAGAGTGTGCTCATATAGCAGTCAGTGGCTCTCACTTCCCAAGAGAAAAAATACTACCTTGGTAGTGCATTCCTTTGACCCCAGCAGAGGCAGTGTATCTAAGGCCGGCCTGATCTACACAGATGGTTATCTAGAGACCCTCTTGCCAACACACAAACACACAACGTGCAGACAAGCACAGGAAAAGTACATGAGCTCAGAGAAACAAAAGGGACCGCTGTGCACCTAGCCAGGACCATCAGAGCATTAAAAAGGTCCACTGGTATTCTAGCTGGTAGAATACTTCACACTAGGACTCTAGAAAAAAATGAGAGGAAAAAAAAAAACCTATTAGCCAGGTGGGGCACAAATTCCTCATTCTAACTTTTGGGGGAATTATTTTTGGGTTTTTTTTTTTTCATAACAGGGTTTCTCTGTGAAGCCCTGGCTATCCTTGAACTCAGAGATCTGCCCGCCTCTGCTAAAGGTGTGCCTCACCAGCATCCGACCTAGCTTTTGTTTTAATTTAGTTGATATCACACAAACCAAACCTCCATCAAGGTGTTGGTGAAGAAGACCAGACTCGGGCACCAAACCCATCCTCCAGGCTCATCCGTGGCAACCTCATTTATCAATTTGGCCTTAAGTGTCCTCAGCAAAATAGGTAAGTCCTGATTTCTCCTTTTTTTTCTTTCTTTTTAAGACGGGGTCTCATATGTAGCCTTGACTGGCCTAGAACTCAGAGATCTGCTTGTTTTTTAAGTGGTGTCTATCCTGCTCTGTGCGTGTAGTCCAGGCTGGCCTTGAACTGGAGATCTTTCACCTCAGCCTCCTGAATGCTGGAACAGATAGAGGTCCAGAGTAGATATCATAAAGCAAGCAGGACATTTCAGCCCAAAGTCCAGATTCTGAAGGGCATGGACTTACTAAACTTGCATTAACTACTTCATGACTATTTGTAATTATTGCATCACAGAAGATATATTCTTTCACTTTTTATAAAGGGGTGCTTGGGATTGAACCGAAATCACACATATGCTAAGCATACTCTACCCTGGTCTCTCCTAGTGCTTCACACCCACAGGAACAGGCAGGGACAGTGACTTCATAACCCACTGCCTCAATCTGATGTGAGCAAGGGGAAATAAAACTTAAAAGGAAATGAAAGTATGACAATGTTCAAAAGGACCCACCTCTCGGCACCCACTGCACAGAAACCAAGAGGAGCTAGCTAGGGAGGTACTTGGGGAGTCAGACCAACACACTGCCTTCTCCCTGGGTGGGAGATTCCAGCTGTGATCCAGCAGGTAGCTGGTTAAGAAGAACTGAGTTTAGGAGCTCGTTCCCTCCTTTCTCATTTGTAAAATGGAGTATACCCTGACTTCATGGTGAGGCTGTGAGGTTTTACACATGAAAAGCAGCTAACACTTCACCAGCCATGTGAAATCCTCTAGGGGAACCAAATATCTTACTTTCAGGCTAGATGGAGCCGGATATACTAGTAAGAGCCAAGTGTTGGGATTCTCAGATTAACTCTTGTTTTTATTACTAAGCATTCTTGGGAACTCAAAACAAAAAACAAACAAGCAAAAAACAACCCAGCCCCTCTCTGAGATCCAGCTTAGGGAGAACAACTTCCCTCTTCTACCCACTCTTAAGACCTTGTGAGACCAAGGGGGACTAAGGGGGATGTATAAATGGTAAGGCAATGTGACTGACTGACCCCCTCAGCTCTTCCACCACTAGAGATCCGCTTAAGACTGCCCCTGCAAGCACCTCAACAGAAAGGCTAGGCAGGATTTAAACTGGTGGTCTCCAGGGGTGGCTGCCCACCCCTCCCCCCACTCCTTTCTAAAACATAGTTTGAATTCTTCCCTTATCAGATAGGTAAATCAGTGTGCAGCCCCACCAAGCCAGACTCCCAGGGCCAGCATCTAAAAGGAGCCTGAAAATTCTTCTTCCACCCCCAACCACACACAAAGCAGGGCCCCGCCTCTCTCCCCATCCCCTCAAAAAAAAAAAAAAAAAAAAAAAAAAAAAAAAAAAAAAAAAAAAAAAAAAAAAAGCAAAGGCCCCGGGGGGGAGGGGCATGACTTGAGCTCCCCCAATAGAACCCAGCCCCAGGGAACAAAGGGTTGACACTGGTTGGTTCTGGTGGTCGGATTCCTGGAGTTCCAAGGCACGGATCCCCCTAGGATGGCTCTCTCCCACCCTCCCCCACATTCAAATCGGACCAGTTCCTTCCTTCCTCTACACTATGGTCGGGGTGAGAGGAATGGCTTCAGAACCTCTGCTCCAGTCAGACCCCAGGAAGGGGAAGTCAACTAACAGCCGTCTTCTCTCCGTCCCTCCCCCCCCCCAGCACCCTCCCTGTACCTCCAGGACGGACTAATAAAGAGGACGCTTCCCCTAGGGCGCCTTCTGTCAAATCCTTCCCGCAGCAGATAAATATTTCAAGGGGAAGAGGGCCAGGAATCCCATTTTCCTTTCTCCAACCTGTTGGAGTTAGTCATGTGGGCAGTGTGCGGGGGGGCCACTGCTGGGGGTGGGGGAGTTACAGCATTTCCTCCCCCACGCTGCTCCTCTCGGTTACACACTTCCTGGCTTCTCCTTCTGTCCTTTGAGGAACCCCCACCCACCACCACATCAAATACCCCACTCAAGTATCAACACCTGACTAAACCCACACATCCCAAATCATCTAAGAAATGTGGACCAAAAACAGTAAATAAAGGGTCAGATTGAGCTATGACTATCCTGTCTCTTGTGGCTTACACAAACCATTTCACTCTGCTTCTTTCTTTGTGGGAGAATTTCATCGTATTCCACCCAATTGACCAGGACCAAATGAAGGGTTTCTCTCCTCTTTTCCAGCACCTTGGGACAGTCCAGGTTTGGGTGACACCATGCACGTCTCTGACCAATTCTAGGTTGAGTAACCAAAATACATATCAATGCCCACTTTAGACTGAGCAGGGTGCTAAGCACTCCTGTCAGAATCATGCAGCATTACAACCAGAAGATTCATAAACACCTTGAAGGTTAGCGAGGCGCTTAAGTGGAGAAGTCTGACCAGAAAACATAACGAAGTGAGGAGACTAGCCCAGTATGTATTTGGGTGAGCCAGCCAGAGGGAGTGCCTGGGACAGAAGCTCCAAGGAAGGACTACAGATAAAATAAACACCTTGATCATAGTATCAAGAAAGAACTGCCACGAGTCTGATCGTGCTAGGTAGTAAGGTCCAATAAAGGCAAGTTGGACATCTTTTCTTCTAGCTGTGCTTTTAAACTCCGAAAATGCCTTTTAATTTGAAAGATTCAGCACCGTGGCGACACTCTGGCATCAAGGTTTCACCCAAGCCTCGCAGGTAGAGGCACAGAGCTTGTTATCATTAATGTTCTAAGGTCAGCTGCCATTCACCTCTCTCTGCTCAGCAGCCCAGAACAAATGCTCCTCCGCAGCTCTCCACCAGATGGGGTATCAGCCTGCGCGAGGCTCTGAACGGAGGGGAACTGTCAGCACACCTATAACTAGGCTCCTTCCTCATGGTGGTTTTCTTGGCCCTTCCATTCCTCAAGATGCTGGAGATGCAAGGACAGGAAGCTCTCTTCCTGTCCAACCCCGATCCTTGGCTATGAGCAAGGAGTGCAGGGTGCAAACGGGAATGAAAAGCTTCCTGAAGTTTATGCCAAAACCATAGAAGAAAAAAAGCCATCATACTGGTTTCTAATAGCAACGTGAAATCATGATTAAAAGGTCTGTACAATTATGAACGTTTCCTGCTGAAACCTCCCAGGCTTGGACTACACAGGCTTGCTGTTCTTCATGCAGATGTAAGTTTCTCAAAAAAAAAAGAAAAAAAAAAAAAGAATGTTTGAGTCCTGGCTATGTGTGCCTCACACCCTGGAAACCACTGATAGTGCAGGCAACAATCTCACCATTCACAAGGCATTTGCCATATTGGAAGCTTTGCTTGGGACGGTGCAAAGTATTACCCAGGATGTTCTCTGGAAGCATGCCGCCTCAACGAGGACACCAAATATTCCAGAATGCCAAAATAACACATGGGCTTCTTTATACCAACTCTACAAAAACCCGTATTTTTAAGCCACCTTTTCCCACTGACATGGAATGCCAGGTAGTGTTCCTGGGCTTGATTCCAAAATGATCTTAATAAAGCCAAAGTTCTGGAGTTCGGAGTTGTAAGTTGTCAACATGTACCCCACAAATACTCGTGGCACACTATACGCTGCCAAGCCATCGTAATCAGCCCAGAAAGAAAGCAGCCTCCTCTCCTGCCTTCCCTCTAGTCTCCTCTGGGGAAAACACTTCGCCTACTCCTGACCCTCCAGGGTCCTCTCAAGATCCCTTCATCTGTTTTCATTTCCACAGTCGTTCATTTAGATCAAGAATATAGTATAAAAATCACTAGACAGTCAAGTTTTTCTCTTGAAAGGACATTCAAAATGGTCAGTCCATGCAATGTTATAAACCAGGAAGGCAAGATCCTACACACTGCCCCACAACCCAACTGTGGTATCCTAGACCCTCCCTCAGGTATGTTGTGTAGGTCTAAGTCATTGTGGTTTAAGCAATTTTAGCTTCAATTTCTGTGTCAATGTTTAATTTTTGTCCAAACCCAACTAAGTTCATTATAGTCTTCACATGGGCCAGATGGTAGCTGTGCACACCTACAATTCCAACACTGGAGATAGATACACAGGAAGATTGAGGCTAGCCTGTGCTACAAGAGACTGCCTTAGCAAAAAACTATGTTCTGAAAAGCTGCTGAAAGCCAATACTTCCTATAAACCTTGATGGTCTACATTTTGAGCCACAAAAAAAAAAACAAACTTAAATCAAAACTTAAAAGTGGTCAGCAACTTCCCAACCATTTTGATGACTTATCTTGCTGTTTCTCAATCAGAAGTTATTCTGCCTTCCAAGAGATATCTGGCAAGATACGGAGACTAATCTAATCAATTTCCAGACATAGATTTCAAGATCTAAAAGGACCTATGGCCGAACCTAATGGGTATTAGAGAAACCTGAATCATAGGCCCTGATCTGCCTACTCTTCTCCTGAGAACAGGATGAGGTATATGCAGATCAGACATAGGAAAGGTCAAAGCAAAGGAGTGTCCCCAAACTATAGGTCAACTTGGCCTGCCTGGACTACAGTGTAAGCTGCAGTCCCAAAATATAAGAATGTATGGCACGTGGCTCAGCACAAGGGCGGTCTCTAACAGGGTGTTGAGAACCCTGTCACCTCACTCTTGGAAGGGCTGATCCTGATCCCCTCCCATTCCATGGCATGACAAATGTCATCTTGAGCTCCTTCCCTTCCACCCCATGGCCAGAACAAAAAGTTCCATTAAACACTTCTTTCTCTGCTTCGTGGACACTCTCCTGAAGTAAACAAGTTTCAGAGATTACCTGTATCTACAACATTCCTCCAGCATAGAGATAAACTCTATGCCACCAGCCTAAATTATGCTGGAGCGTGGGACCAGCCCTAGCAACAGCAGGCTGCGGTAAAACACCAATTACTGTGACGGGAGAGTGGAGGTTAGGGAGGAACTTCTTCAAATATGGGAGCCAGCCAGGAGATGGGGCCTTCCGTCCCAACATCCAGGAGGCAGTGACAGGCAGATCGAGTTAAGAGGCCAGCCTGATCTACAGAGCAAAGTCCAGGCCAGCCAGTTAGACAGTGAAATTCTGTATCCAAAAAAAGAGAAGGAGAAAGAAAATAGAAAACCAAACACACAAAAACTTCCAATCTGGGCTGGTGGACATAGCTCTCCAAGCAGCTCTGTACTGACTGCTGCTCCCCCCAGTGGCATGCTACAGCGTCCCAATTGCTATGATCCTAAGGTTGAGTCTGAGGCACAGCTCTCCGATTTGTTCCACCACCAAGGAGCCCTAGCCTTTGGAAGAAGTCAAGAAAGCTTTGTACCTCATTTATATCCCAGCCCTCCAGAATTGGGAAAGCTGTCCAGCCCATCTCCAGACCAGGAGAGATCTGAATCTCTGTGATCTGATAAACGGGGAGAGTGGGGGCGGCTTGCCACCCGCGGAGGAGGGCCATTCAAGGTAGGTTCCTGCAATAAAGTGATTTAATAGATCTAAAGAGGCCAATTCCCTTCTCTCTCACAATTACTTCCTGGGAGTTATCATTCACATATGTAAATGAGATGGGGGGGCACAAAGCCACCATCCAGAAAGGAGCAGCCTGGTGGTAGTGTGTTGGGGTTGGTATTTCAAAGAAGTAGCTAAAGGTACCGCTGTAGGTCCCTTAAACACAGGTCCCAGAAGCCCAGCGACCCTAGCACACCAACAGCAGAGCAGAGAGCTGGTCCCAAAATTCCTTCAACCCAAATCTATCTAGTTTCCCCTCATCAACCTCCTGACTGGAGGGCAGTGTGCAGTCTTCACTGCAGTCTCCAACCAGTCGGTCCAGCATCTCCTTCCCCACCCCTCCCCCTCAAGAACGCCATCCCTCAGGCTCCAACTCTTAATCCCCACATCCTCCTTTCCCCTCCCCCACAGCTCCTAAAGCTAACCTCCCTGAAGTAACCCCTCCCTGCCCGGACCGGGTGTCAAGCTCCAGGGCCAAGGATTAGCAATTTCTTCTCTCCTGGTCCAGCCTTAACCACTAATGTGGGAGGCAGGGTAGCAGGAACCTCTTAACCACCGAGGCTCGGGGAACACTTGAACAACCGTCGGGTGCTGAGAGATAAAGGCGAGTAAGGAGAGAACCTGAAGACTCTACTATTTAGGGTTAGGAATGTTAGGGACAGCAATCAATGGCTGTCTGGGGCCATAAATGCCAAACTGAGGAGAATAGGGCAAGAGGCCAGCCTCCTTCCACTGCCTGCCCCTCGACACTGAATTTCACTCCCCACTGCGCTGCCCTTCTTTAACTGAGAACTTGGGATTGCACCGACCCAAGTCTCCTTCCTAGACTGGCCCCGCCAGGAATGAAGGCTTCGGCTAACGTTTTCCTTCCTGGCAAGACCTGGTGGACAGCAGAGGCGCCTGCCGGTCCTGAACTGGAACGAGCCTTCTAGGGGAGCTTTTCAGCTCACATGTTCATCCTTCCGGGATGTGCCAAACCTATTCTGGCCACAGAACCTGGCTTTTTGGGTGGCCACCTGACTTAGGTCTGCACTTAAAACTGGGGAAGAGCCTGACTTCGCAGGTTCATGCCCGTGGGTAGGGTGGCAAATTAGCCCCACACTCCCCTGCCCTGTAAGCTACATTCAGACCTTCAGAACTCAAGGGGCTAGCGCCCAATTCAAGCCCTGCATGTGCTTCCCTGGTTGGCCTGCTCGCCCTCCCCCACCGGCAAGCACAATACAACCTTAGTTTCTGCCACATGGGGTCACCTCCCTGCCCCCTGCTCCCTTCCCAGGGGAAAGAGGTAATAGACACGTGGTAAGCCGGAGGGGTTCCCGGAAGGGGGCGGGGAGGGGGTGCTGGTAATCAGTGGTGCCTCCTCCTTGCTCCACCATAGTTACTCGAAACTCAAAATTGGGGCGTCCCGGCAGACGCACAATGAGTGTCCTTTATCGCCTTCAATCCAACAGGAACGGCCATCAGCCAAGCCCATACATATAACACCCAGTTTTTCTTTTTCCTAGCAAAGTTACCAGAATCAGTCTCACCTGGTGCACAAAGACGTCCACCGGGGGGTCGAGCGCGACCCCGGCGCGGGCGGTCATGGACAGGAAGCCGAACCCCATGCGCACGTTGAACCACTTACAGATGCCGGCCCCGTGCAGCAGCTGCGGCTCGTCTGCCGCCCGAGCCGCGTCAGCCGGCGCCTCCTCCGGCGCCTTCTCCGCTGCCTTGGCGCAACCACCTGGAGACAGGGAGGGCCAGGTGATCAGCTGGGGGCCAAGCCATCGCAGGGCCCTCTCAGGGACCCGTCTGGGAGATCTCAGTGTTGAGCCCGCGGATAGACACCCAGGAGGAGGCAGCTACCAAACAGCTGGTAAGAAGAAACCTGTCCAGGCTGCCTCCCCAAGGTTACACCGAGGATGCTGATGCCCCGAAAGTTTTGCATGTCTTCCCACAACATGTTGCCCGTGCACACGCGGCGGGACAGGCCCCTCCTCTTCTCTCCCTCCGCCCCCACAGACTCGGCGCGCAAGCCACTGGAACACCAGGGTTCCCTGCTCCAGAGATGGCCCCAAGAAGCAGGAGGCCGCAGGGACTTGGGGTCCCGCGGGCAAGTCCGTGGGACACTTTCCCACCTCCCTTCTATTTAGCTCTTGGGCGCCCTGCACCCTAAGGTGTGCCCGCTGAATCGCAAGCTCGAACCTGCAAACTGCTGGTTGGACACCGAGCCCATGGTCGTCGGCTGAGCCCGTGGCCCCGGGCCCCAGGTCGGGCGGCTGCTGGCCCCAAAGAAGTCCGGAGGCAAAGGGGTGGTTCGGAGAAGAGGCTGCTACATCTTCCCCCGCACAATAGCGGTGGGAGGGCCCACGGCTTTTCAAAGGCTCCCAAATTCTAAAAGACAATGACCCAACCCCCCGCGGGCAGCCCCCTCCCCTCCCCTCTCTCATTACCCCTCCCTTTCCCTCCGGCTCTGGCTCCCGCCCTCCCCCACTGCTCTGGTCTCTGACACCTCAGGGGTGTCCCTTCCCAGAACCTTGAGATTTGACACCCCCTCCACATACGCATATCTGGACATGGGGATCTTTTGCCCTAGGAGTCTTTAGTACCCCAGAATTTAGGATACTGCACTTTGAGGACTCAATGAGGGTACCTAAAGCAGACACAGGTGGGGGACTTGGGGGGGGGAGTAGTTTTATAACCACGTGACCACACACACAGGTGGGGGACGGGGGGGGAAGTTTTATAACCACGTGACCACACACCCCCCCCCCCCCCCCCCCCCCCGGGCAGATAATTATACATTCCAGAGAGTTGGGGGAGGGAGGTGTGAGCCTGTTGGCGCTGTCCAATCAGAAACACAAACCACCTGTCAAGGGAGAAATGGATGAGCCCTCCCCCTCCCCCAGCCCCTCAGCGCCCCTCCCCCCTCTTCCCCCCTCAGGCCTCTGAGCTGACCCGGCTGCTTGGCGCTGACCTGCTCTCACCCCCCACCCCCGTGTGCTTAGATAGACCTGGAGTTCTGGGCACTAAGAAGCCAGGATATGGGTGCAGGGAGGCGGCAGGAGACCCCACAGAGCTGATCTCTCTTGACCTAGGCGCTGCCTCTCAAACTCAGCCTGCCTCTGACTACAACTAGATGTCTCCATCTCCAAGTCTCAACATCAGTTCCTCTGGGTTTGTCCCAATCAGAAACAAGCTGCTAGTTGATTTGTGCAAAGAATCCTTTGCTTCCTTTCCAGCCTGCATCTAAAGTTGGTCCTAGGTGGAGAGCTTCCTGGGAGAGCAAGGGGGAAGCCTGGAAGAGTGTCCTCTGTGATAGCTGCCTCCTCATCCTGTCCGGCGCGTCCCATTCTGTCCCATCCCTAGCTGGCAGAGGGTAATATTGTGGGTGGAGGCACTTCCTCCAGTACCCGGGACACTGATTCCCAGACCCTCCTGCTCTCAGTCACCTTCCTAAATTGCACTCCCCTCCGGGTAGCGTGGCTGGTGGAAGGACTGGATAGGGAGGTTTCTCATTTGAAGAGGTAAACTCCCTACTAGAAGATAAAGAGGGTGGACCGGGGGGTGGCCACTGCCCTGGTCAGAGATGGACAATGGCCCGGGGCTCAGTGCACGGCCCTGGCCCTGCCCCTTCACTTCCGGTGCTCAGTTCAAACTGGACAATGCCAGCTCCGGTCAGTTCCCCTCCCCCACAGCTACAACCCATTTAAAGGGACAGAGCCTGCTTTCAGGGGCATCCGCTTACCCTGAATTCAGTCTTCTCCATGAATGTGCAGAATCTCTTGTGGTTCACACGCTGCAGTTTTGCGCGTGTTGGTGTACACTCATGGGCACGTGTGCATCTGAGAATGAGAAAAAAGATAACGGGGTAGGGAAATGGAAGATAGGAGAATCAGTGACTATGAAGAAAATTTTCCTCTTCCCTACGAAGTGTTTTGCACGAGACTAAAGTTTTGAGCGTGAAATGAATGAGATAGAACTTTGGAGGATTAAAAAAAAAAAGACTCTGGTGAGCCTTCTGTTACTTAGCTAAAAAAACGCAAATATCATTAACAGTGCCCTATTCCCAACTAGGACTGGCAAATCTTTTCGGAGTGTAACAGCCGAAGCCATCTATTTGCATAGCCCGCGCCCGTTAGGCAGCACCTTTACGATATCTACTCCCTATACCTCTTCTCCTGAGCTTCAGAAGGCGGTGGCTGAGGTCTTCTGAAGGGACGTAGGAAAACGAGGCGAGCGCTCAGGTTTCTCTTGGTGACCCCAACGTGGTTGGGTTCCCCCGCAGGCTCGATCAGCTGCTCTGTCCAGGGTCCTGAGGGAATCTGTGGCTCTGTCCTTGGTGCTGAAAACACTTCCCGGTTTCCTGCCTTGAGAACTTCCTTTGTTCTCGCCTCCAAATCCTTCCCAGAAAGCCTGAATGTCCCCTGGCACACATGAGGCAAATAAAATCTTTATTTTTGCTTTTCTTTTTAAGACAGGGTTTCTCTGTAGCTTTGGAGCCTGTCCTGGATCTAACTCTTGTAGACCAGGCTGATCTCAAAATCACAGAGATCCGCCTGCCTCTGCCTCCCTGAGTGCTGGGATTAATTTAAAGGCGTGCACCACCACCGCCCGGCTATTTTTGCTTTTTCTTCCAAACAGAGTTTCTCTGTTTAATACCTCAGGTGGTCTTGGAACTCGCTCTGTAGACCAGGCTGGCCTCAAACTCAGAGATCCGCCTGCCTCTGCCTCTTGAGTGCTGGGATTAAAGGCATGTGCCACCACCACCTGACTTTATTTTTGCTTTTTATTAAAACAAGGCCTTGCTACATGGCACATTCTGGCCTGAAATCACATTGAAATCCTCCTGCCTCTGCCTCCTTCAAACTGGGATTACAGGTGTGTGTCACCTTGCCTGGCTCAATTTTTCTTTTACATTTTATTTTGTTATATTTGTATTTATGTGTATTTATACACCATACATGTACTGCTGCCCTCAGAAGCCAGAAGAGGATGTTGGATTCCCCGGAGCTGTAATTACAGGTAGTTGTGAGTCACAAATGTGGGTTCTGGGAACCAAATTTAGGTCCTCTGGAAGAAGAATCTGTGCTCTTAACCACGGAGCCTTCTCTCCAGCCCTGAATGTTTCTTGAATACTGAAGAGGAAATTTCTAGCAGTAAATGATTCTGTCAGCACTGCAGGCATTGCAAGCTCACCTTTAGGAAAAAGCAATGTTCAAGCCAACTCACGTGTTCATAAAGAAAGATAATAACTTTGAATATAACAGTTTATTTACTAATAATTTTTAATTTGTTCAATTATTGAAAAGCACCTTTTGTTTTTTGGTTTTGAATTTTTTTGTTTGTTTGTTTGTTTGTTTCGAGACAAGGTTTTGCTATGCAACTGCCCTGGCTCTCCTGGAACTCTCTCTGTAGACCGGGCTGGCCTTGAACTCACAGAGATCTGCCTGCCTCTGCCCCCTAAATGCTGGGACCAAAGTCCTGCTCCTCCACCACCTGGCTGAAAAGCACTTTTTAAATTATTGTTTTGAAGCAGCAGGGTTCCCTGTAGCCCACGCTGGCCTCAGGCGGACTGTATAGCCAAGAATAACTTTGGAGTCCTAATTCTCTGCCTGCGTCTCCCACGTGCTGAGATTCCAGGCATGCCCACCACACCCACCTTTGTGCTTTCCTGAGAGCACAGGTGCGTTGACATTGCCCGTGTTTGTTACAACTCTGTGATCTGGGACAACTTTCTTACTCTCTGTGTGCCTTGGCTTCCGCCCTGCCCGGCGGAGATAATGAGAATACCTTGGTGCTCAGAGACGTTGTGAGAATGAAAGGCAAGGACTAGGTATTCCAAGAGAATGTTTCCAAAATAGTACCTTGTTGGGGAATATTGTTTTCAGGTGTGTGTGATTTTGTTTAGTTGCACTTGATTAACTGTGAAACTGTGATTCTATGCCTGTCTAAAACACCTGATGGTCCAATAGTACGGCAGAAGCAAGGACAGGCAGAGCTAGCAGGCAGAGAGTATAAAAGGAAAAAACAAGGACGAGAAAGAGGAACAAAACAAGAGAACAAGGAAGGGAGGATATCAGGCCAGCCACCCAGCTACACAAGAGAAAAGTACAGAAAAGTATACAGAAATAGAGAAAGATAAAAGTCCAGAGGCAAAAGGTAGATGGGATAATTTAAGAAAAGTGAGCAAGAAACAAGCCAAGCTAAGGCTAGTCAATCATAACTAGGAATAAGCCTCTGTGTGTGATTTATTTAGGAGCTGGATGGAAGGATCCCCAAAAAGCAGAAGAGTAAAACATCATACAACAGTACCTGGCATGTGGTTTTTAATTCCTTAAGTCACTACTATTATAATGGGGATGCTGCTCAGCTGGGCGAGTGTCTACCTAGGATGCACATGGCCCTGAGTTTGAGCCCTAGAGCCAAGGCCTGGGCTCAATACACAGGCCCTCATAAAACTGGGCATGGGGGCTGAAGAGATGCCTGCTCTACCAGAGGACTGGAGTTCGATTCCCAGCACCTGCTGGGTGATTCACAGCCATCTCTAACTGTAGTCCCAGGGGATCCAACACCCTCTTCTGGCATCTGCTGGCACCGGGCATGGGCATACATGCGGTACACAGATGTACATGCAGGGAAAGCACCTATATATAAAATAAATTAAAATCCCAACTCTGATAAAACATGCTCACTACTATGTTTTATAAAGCAGTTACAATATTATTTTACATCCATAGGCATGTGATATGGCACTGTCCTGAATCTATAATGTTAGCAGATACAATTTATAAATTCATATGGTTTTTCCCCCCAAACTGTCTACTACCTAAGGCAGTAGCTAGGCTGTGGAAATCACCCAGGTAGACTTTCCTCAATGGACTATTATTCTTTTCTTTCCAAGGCTGATCTCACACTCACATCAATCCTCTTGCCTCAGCATCCTGAGTACTAGGATTATATGTGTGAGCCAACATACCCAGCCTGAATAAATTTGAATTGAAATAAGATACATCATCAAAATAGTCCTAATCCTCATTTTCCTCAGCTATCTTTGTAAATTCTCTTCCCGGAAGAGCTGAGTGAAAAGCCCTGGCCATCTACTACAGAAATGATACCGTGCCCTCGTAAAAAAAACATTCCCCCAATGTGTCCCACAAGATACCTGTCCCACCAGCTGTGCACACACACACATGTGTATGCGAGTGCACTTGTGCATATCTGTAAATCCCAGTA